ATTAAAGGGAATGTGAATCAATTTATTTTTTGTATCACCTCTAATAATTAATCAGAGCATTGTGAAATCATTCTAAAATGAATTATTTATTGTTATATCAACAATTGAATAAACATAAGATAGAATAAAATCATTTAAGACTTAAAGATTAGAAAAAAGGAAAAAAGACATAAATATAAAGTTGAATAATTTTACAATCCTACTTGAATAAATTATGGAGTTCAAAAGTAATTTTAATAATTCTTTGGATAAGATTTATAAAGAAATTCAAACATAAGTGTTAATTTTTAAAAAAGAAAAATAATCTTTATTATAAAATTTTAATACTTAATATAATTTTCAAGAGGATGTTAAATAATTATCTGAATTTCTTTTAATCTAGGATAATTAAATAGAACTCTCATAAGATGGCTAATTTATTGATGAAATTTTTAAATAATTTGAACTCATTTTTTAAAATGAAGCACATAACAAAACTGTATAAACTTTTAAGGATGTTGTATAGAATATTAATAATTTAAATAAGGATAATCAAATTGAAATTATATCTCTGTAAACCAAAAATAATGAAGTAATATTTATATAATATTTTAGAAAACATTAAGTTTAAATAACCTTTGCGCAAAACATAAAAAAGAAATAATTATGATCGACATAGATTCAGAGAATAAAAAAGTAGAATAAAGATTTGCTTGTGTCTAATGCATTAGTGATAATCCTTAGTGCTAATATAAAACAATAGAGGAGATAAATTAGAAGTGGAATGAAAAAATGAAATAATAAGATCATATTATCAATGATTTAAAGTCAAAAAGGTTAAAAAAGAAAGAAAAATTGAATTAGAAAATAGCTGAAATGAGAAAAAATTATATTTTATAATTAGATGATATTAATGAGTACATTGGTAAATTAAGAATTATTGATTAGAAAACAAGAGTTAGATGAATTTATTAGTTCTTCAACATAAATTTACTGTTAGATAGATCTATTTAATCAAACTATTAAAAAATTTTAAGATCACTAAATTAAAATTAACTATATTAATGATAAAATCAAATTATTTCAAGATAATTAATATTTTACAAACTTATTAATATAACTTTATGATTATAAGGATAAATTTGAAAAAGATTTTAAGAATTTCAAGAAATTTTGTGAAATAGACAAATTGGAGAAAAACATTGAGACTTTAAAAAAAGATTATAAGAAATTGGAATCTGAAAGTAAGAATATTTTTATAAATTAGAAATTACTATAGAGAATGAATACAAAGTTGAGTGTCAGACTTAAGATAATTTAATTAAGGAGTTAACAAATTTAAAATTAGAATAATAACACATAAAAGAAGAATAGAGATTATTAAATGAAAGATTAAAGAAGGAGCAAAATAATAATGACTAACTTTTATAATAATTAAGAGAATAATAAATAAACTATTAAAATTAAATTGTATCACTAAATTAATAGATCCAAGATAAGAATAATTTAATAACAGAAATATAATCAAGGTTAGATTAATTAGGCTTAAATATAAAACCAGATTTACTTCACACTAATTAAAATTATCTAATAAAAGGTTAATAAATAAATTAAAAATTCAATTTTGATCTACTCGGGCACAAAAGATGGATTAAATAATTAATAATATTGGAGCAAGGTGAATGGCAAAGGTAATTTACTTATGGTCTTCAAATCAAAAAGCGATCATATTTTAGGAGCATACTCACCTTGTATATGGGAATCATGTTGTGGGAAATATGTAGCAGATAATACTTTATCTTCTTTCATATTTTCATAAACTAATGATTAAGTTTTTCCTTTGATGAAAGATACTAAAAAATATGCTATCTATTGTCATTAAAATTATGGACCAGTATTCGGTAATGGATATGATATGAAAATAGGAGGTGATTTTACTGATGGTTATTTTAATTTAGGTAGTTCATATTAATATTCTTTATAAAACCATGAAGAAATTAAGCCATATTTATTTGGATAAAAAAAACCAGAAATAAAAGAATGCCAAATCTATGAATTATAATTTTTTTGAGTTTTATACTGCAATTTACAGTTTTTAATACAGGAATATTACTAGTTTAATTTTATTAAATAATGTAAATAATTGTCTAAATTATTAAATTATAATTAAAATTCCTTTTATTTAAAATTAGAGATTTTGGATAATAAAATCTTGATTTTTTATTATCATTTCTTTTGATTTTGAATTCAAAGATAAAAAATTACTTATAAATAAACTTAAAATTAATATATTTATGCTCCAAATGTTGAAAAATTAATATATTAAGTTTCTTTGAAGTTTTAATAAACAAATTCTAATCAAATAAATAAATACATTTTTAATATAAAATTGATAAACATGAATGACTAATATCTTTACTTATTTTCTAATAATCATCAACAAAATGGATAATATTAGATTTTTCAAAATACAATCAATTATTTATATTAATTATTTTTATTCTATTATATGTTTTACAATTTGTGATTTAAAATTTTTATAATATGAAATATTAAAATATCCTAAATGAAAAACTATTAAGATTTCATTATATTAGTTAAAACTCATTCATAAAAACATGATCCTCCTTTTATTCCAATAATATATTGATATTATAACTAATATTAATTGAACTTTCGTCTTGGATAGTATCAAAAAAGCTAATTTACTTTTGAACATAAAGAATCTAATTTATACCTTTAACTTTCATATTTAAAATATTTAGAAATTTGTTATAAAACTAGAGAATTTGAAATATAATACATTAAGTAAGATTAATTTTACACTTTGATGAACAAATTGAATGGAATATATTATTTCTCTTCTGTCATCATTCAATAGAAATTGATTAAATTGCTTAATATTCTTAAAATTTAAAACCTTAAAGTATTTTAGTCCTTATGGCCTAATTAAAAGATATACCCATAAATTTACATTCTAATTGTATTGTGCTTTTGGATATAAAGTTAATACCAAAAGTGATGCTTAGTTTAGTTTCATTTTAGCATAAATTTTAATTTTATTGGAAAGTACTAAGATTTCTTATTATCCTTCTTCTCTAAATATTTATATTCTTTTGTCAAGAAATAAATTCTTTATTCAGGGTTAAAGAATGATATTAAGGCACCAATTTGATAAATATATATTCAAAAATATGATGAAACATCAATAACACTTCCATAAATATATTAATGACTAATATTAGTGATTTAATTATATTCCATTATGAGATGATAGTGTAACTATGGCCTTAAATATTTTTGACTTTAAACCATAAAATTTTTACAATTTAAGACAATCCAAAATAGAAGTGTTATTTAAAGACAAGCTTGGAATAAGAATGAAACAATTAATTGTTAAAATACTCATAGAAATTGTTTTCAAAAAGCTGTAAAAATATTTGTATCATGGAGTGACAAAGCATTAAATTTGTCATTTAAAAATTATTAGAGTAAATGATAATATATTTGCTTATTTTAATGATTTAAGAAATATCATTTTTAAAATGTATCTTATAAATCTTTCGGTTCACAGAATAATTATTCATGTTTTAGTCTAAATTCATGAATAAATATGTAATTATTACATAATTTTATTTTGATATTTTATGTAATCAATCAATTATTTTGAATCCAAAATAACAAAATTTATAAAAATACTTCTGAATACTATATAATAGATAATTATTGTTATATGTAAAAATCTATTTTTATGATAATTATATTAGCTGCTATTTCGTTCTTTTATTCTATTCTTATTTTTGTTATTTAAAAAGATCATAATTAAAATTATAAATGAGATTAATTTTCATTAATATCCAAATGTAATTCATTCAAAATAAAATTAACATTGATTTTCAATCTAGTAACACCTAATATTTTTATAATATTTAATCTAATTCTCAGAAGCAATCTAGTTACTTTTTTGATGAAACCAAATAAAAAAAATAAGTTTTGAAAGATTTTTATCATTTTAATAGAAATAATCCTGTTTTATAAGAGTGCATTATATATAAGTTGCACTATTTTTTTATGAATTTAGGATTGTTGTTGAATTAACTAGAAAAAATGAATGAAACCTATTCTAAGGATTTTAAGCTTAATGTTCATAAATATTGATGGAAGATAAAGATACTTTAAAGGCTTAATCAAAGTCTCCATCTTTTAAATATATTATATTGATAATCTTAATTATATGGTAATTGAATTATATCAGAAAGGTTTATTGAATAAAAGTCTAAATATAAACTCTTAGCTTAAGTTTAATTCCATTAATTTAGCTTTTGGATCTTTTAAGCTATTTGCAATAAGATCAATTGTTACTGAAACTTACAAAGCCAACAGTAAAAGTAGCAAATTTAAGCATATGAATTTGTACTATTATTATACATCCTCATTTTAAACCTTTAATTATGATTCTCTGCATTTGAAGTATATTA